GATTCTCCTGCCTCAGCCTCCCAAGTAGCTGGGATTATAGGCACGTGCCACTACGCCCAGCCAATTTTGGTATTTTTGGTAGACATGGGGTTCCACCATGTTGGCCAAGCTGGTCTCGAATTCCTGACCTCAAATGATTTGCCTGCCTCGGCCTCTCAAAGTTCTGGGATTACAGGCGTGAGCCACCATGTCCAGCCTGTCTTGGCACTTTAAATGTACCATCTCTGGCTGGGCAGGGTGACTCACACCTGTAATCTCTATGCTTTGGGAGGCCAAGGTGGGAGGATGGCTCGAGGCCAGAAGTTTGAGATCAGCCTGGGCAGCAGAGAGACCCCATCTCTCACAAAAAAATTTAAAACTCTACCCAAGTGTGATGGTACACGCCTGCAATCCTAGCTACTCCGGAAGCTGCAGTGGGAGGATTCCTTGAGCCCAGGAATTCAAGGTTGCAGTGAGCTTAAATTGCGTCACTGCATTCTAGCCTGAGTGACAGAGTGAGACCCTGTCTCCCAAAAAAAAGAAAAGAAAAGAAAAGGGTCTGGTATGGTGGCTCACACCTGCAATCCCAGCACTTTGGGAGGCTGAGGCAGGAGGCTTGCTTGAGCCCAGCAGTTCAAGACCAGCCTAGACAATACAGTAAGACCCTGTCTCTACAAAAACGTTAGCTGGGCATGGTGGCACGTACCTGTAGTCCCAGCTACTCAAGAGGCTGAGGTGGGAGGATCATTTGATCCCACGTGGTTGAGGCTGCATTAAAGCTTACAATAATCTGGGGACTCAGGGTTAAGTACAGTGCCTGAAGGTGTGACATTGTCAGGGGGCAGGGCCAGGATTCACACCCAGGTCTACTGGCTCTCAGCTGTGACTGCATATTGGATCACTCTGAGGAGCCTTAAACAATATGACTAGTTTCTAGGCATCATTCTGACTGAACTATTTCTGGGATGTGTGGCCTGAGTGTGGGAATTTTCACCAGCTCCTCAGCTGATTCTAATGTGCGGAAGACATTGGGAATTTTGCTCGGTGCATCCTGAAATCTCTTGGGTGTCAGTATATTAATACCCCACAGCTAAAAATCTCAAGACAGAAATAAGATCATCCAAAATGAAACTTTTAAGGAAATTTGGCCTGGTGGAGACTAGGTTATCTTACAGATGCCAGAGTTTGTGAATTGGGTCTGCAGAGACGAATGCTGGGGGCCAGTGAGGGCAAATGTTCCTGTCAGCACGGGTGTGAACAATTCTGCCTCCTCTACTGGGATAGGGGAGCTCGTTTTTCAGAAATGCCTTTGTCCACCCATCTGGGCTGTACGTCCCATAAAAGCCATTCTCTCTGACACATGTGGAAGAGGAAGGCCAGTCACCTGCTCTGCACACTTCCTTCTTGTCCTAGATCACAGTGAAAGCAGTGAAGTGAGCCAGTCAGAGGGAGAGCCCTGGCCTGACATCGAGAGCTTCAGTAAAATGCCTTTTGATGTCAGTGTGCATGACCCCAAGTACACTTTGATGAGCCTGGTGTATACTGAGAAGCTGGCAGGGGTCAAACAAGGTCAGTGCAATCAGAGCCAAGTTCACCTCCTTTCCAGGTCAAGGGGACACTAACTCCATCTCGCTTTTCTTTCACTCTTATGCACATCATTTTTTAAATTTTCATATCTGTTTCTTAGGGCATAAATTACAGAATACATGGAAAAGTCATTTTGGGGAAAAGGGGACTTTTCTTTCCAGGCATAGGGAAAACATGTTATCTCATGGGATGGCTTTTTGCCCCTTTATACACAGAAGTGATAAAGGAATCCAAAGCTGAAGAGCCCAGGAAACGGGAAACTGTGTCCATAATGCTGACCAAATATGCAGCCTATAACACCTTTCACCACTGTGAACAGTGCCGCCAGTACATGGACTTCACCTCTGCCTCCCAGGTACCGTCCCGCCTTCGCCCTCGCCCTCGCCCTCTGTCACCCACTATGGATTTTGTATGTAAGGGTGGGGGCTGGAGGGATGAAAAATAGGGCCCCTAGTTTCAGGCCTCAGGCAAAGCATAGTTTACTCATACGAAGGAGCCACTCATTGGTGAGAAAAATGCATGAAGGCTGGGCGTGGTGGCTCACCCCGTAATCCCAGCACTGGGAGGCCAAGGTGGGTGGATCACCTGAGGTCAGAAGTTCGTGACCATCCTGGCCAACATGGTGAAACCCCGTCTCTACTAAAAATACAAAAAATTAGCCAGGTGTGGTGGCACACGCCTGTAATCCCAGCTACTTGGGAGGCTGAGGCAGGAGAATCACTTGAACCTAGAAGGTGGAGGCTGCAGTGAGCCAAGATCTCACCACTGCACTCCAACCTGGGTGACAGACTGAGACTCGTCTCAAAAACAAACAAACAAACAAACAATGCATGAAGCAATAATTAAATGAATGTTGGGTTTCTTTGGATTGTGGGAGGGAGAGGCGGCAGCTTAGTTTTAGTATCTTGAATTACTTCTTCAAATGGTTACATGTGTCATTTAGGTTAGGAAGTAGCTGAGATGTTTCTTTGCAATCCAGATATTACAGTATATTTGATAAGAGTTCCCCCTCTTCCCTTTGGATCACTGACTAAAATGGCACTATTATCTCAGATCCACAGGGTGTGCCCTTTGAGCTGTGATTCTAATAGGTCTGTTGATTTGCACCAACCTAGTCATATTCACACCTGTGTGGGGTGGCCTGGCCAGTGGAGTCGGTTTGTTTTATGCAGTGAGAACTGAGACATAGGAATGCAGAACACGGGCCAATAACCCTTAGTATGTGGCTTCTTTTTGGCTAGTGCATCTTTAAGCACAAAAGATGGAAAGGCAACATATGATAGTAATATCCAGAGCTTACTTCCCCCAATCCATCTTTATTTTTGTGACTTGGCTCTGAACACACAGAAACGACTCCTGCTTCTGGTAGGCCATACTGACTCCCCTAAACCTGTTTCTGCTCTTCAGGGCCAGCTCGTCACCCTTTTCCCACATCTCATCCTGAAATACAAATGAGTACTAGAAGGGATATGCTTTAAAAAACCGATCGAATCATTCTGCCCTTCTAAAACAAGTTACCTTTTATATCCCATTTGTTTTCTTGGCGTTACTGAAAACTTTTGGTGGGCTGCTTTGAAATAAGCTCTTAAAAGCTTTATGGAAGATCCAAGTCCCCTGGTCTACAGATTATAGGTTTTTAGAAAATCTCTTTATTAGAAACCCTCTATTCATAAAGTTTGTGGGACGACCGTACTAAGTAGTATATTCCCACATTTCTGAGGCAGAACTAGAATTAAGGGAAGAAGTGTAATGTTATTTTTCTATGAAATATAGTATTTCGGTTAAAACCATTGGGAAACCTACTTCGATTCTAGTTGCTGATGAAAATTGATGGTATCCTTTTATTAAGCCAAATCTTATCCACATTAAAAGCGTGAAAAGACCTATTACATAATTATTCATTGAGACAGGTTACTGAAAAAACATGAACTCTCCAGCACTTTAAATGTAGGTTAGATTTATATTTGGCTTCAGTGAGTCAAATGATCCTTCTTTTCTGAAACCAGAGTTCTGGGCTAAATGATTGAACCTCTTCAGCATCCACTGTAGCCAGGAAAGATGGGGCTGGAGAGGCATTTTACTGTCAAACCTAATATTTAGAAAGCTGATACACATTTGACCTGACCCGCAGAGAACAGAAGTGTTTCCCTCCGATTAACAGGAGACCTTTGGGAATGCATACAGAGCAGGACATCCCACAGGTATATCTGACCTCTGCAATAAGATGGAGCAGTTGTGGCTCTGACAGCATAAAGAATGCAGTGCCAGGCAACAAGTACTTCTCCCACTGAGGCTGTGCAGGTGCAAGATGGCGGGCTGCCATGTCAGTGGCAGCTCCTAAATGAAGTGTTTGCCTTATCAACCTTTTAGATGTGGCTGCTCACAGCCTGGTCTGGTGGCACTTACCAGTTCATGTTAGTTTCCCTCTCTTAGTAACAGCCTGAAGGAGTGGCCTGGAAGTTTAGAAACGGTGGGCTTACTTACATTCCCTCCCTTTCTTCTTTGCAAACGTAGATGTCTGACTCCACCCTTCATGCCTTCACATTCTCTTCCTCTATGCTGGGAGAAGAGGTTCAGCTCTATTTCATCATTCCCAAATCCAAAGAGAGTCATTTTGTCTTCAGCAAGCAGGGCAAGCACCTGGAGAGCATGCGGCTGCCCTTGGTTTCAGACAAGGTGGGTGAGAGCATCTGGACTGCCAGGCACCAGACCTAGTTCTCTAAGTGTCCTCAATCTAGAGGCTTTAATGTCATCTGTTTTCTTCCCTTTCGGCAGAATTTGAATGCAGTCAAGAGCCCTATTTTCACTCCTTCCAGTGGTAGACATGAGCACGGACTCCTAAACCTCTTCCACGCCATGGAGGGCATCAGCCACCTTCACCTCCTCGTGGTCAAAGAGTATGAGATGCCTCTGTACCGCAAGTACTGGCCCAACCACATCATGCTGGTGCTTCCCGGCATGTTCAATAATGCAGGCGTGGGTAAGGGGCCCCCCGGGATGGGGAGAAGGGCTTCGAAGATAAACTGAGCTCCATTCCCCTGGCATTAAAGCTTCAGATTCCCCAGCCTCTAGAAATTGTCCTGCCCTCCTCACCTCTTTGAAAAAAATAGTCTTTTGACTCTTCCTTGAATTTGAGTTTTCTTTTTCCCCTTATCTGCAGTTTTGCAGAATTAACTCTGAGGACTGGTAATTAAGGAAGAAGTCACTGGTATACGGAGCACCCTGGGAAAGTTTGGGATTCTTCCCTGTATAGGCTGCAAATGTTCTGAGCTGAGCACTGTGGAGCAGAAATGTAACCATGAGAAAAAAGATGGTCTAAGGGAGAGGCAGGGTTAGTGGTTCACCCAGATCAGGAGGGGCCCCTAGGTCATCTCATCTTTAAGGCATGTAGCAAGTTCTAGGGGACTGCTGTACAACCAGGGAGCTGGAAGCACCGTTACTGCCTATGACACAGGAATGTGCCTGAAAGAAGTCTTCCTGCTTTCCCCTGGGGTTTAACAGCAATGCGCTGATTTCTCAAAGGGGGCCAGTGCTTGTATGTATGACAGAGCTGTGGAGACTGGAGATGTGAGAACGCCTTCATTTTCCTTTCTCAGGCAGGACATCTCTAACCGAATCCAGTGTTTTAGAGCTGTGCTCTTCTGGACACTTCTTGCACTGTAGTTCTAAACAGTTTTTCCCATCTGCTCCTGTGGGGTGCCTCAGTGCCAAGTCAGGAGCTGCTTGTTCCCATTTTGAAGAGAAGTAGTAACACCCAGCCTAGAGCTGGACTGGAGGGCAGATAAGACCGGAGTAGTTTTCTTGAACCCACATGTTTCTTCTCTCCAGGGTCTCCTCTTTCTCCACTGTCTCCCAACTTAGCCTGTGCCTCTCCCTTCCTTCTTAGGTCTCTCCATTTCTTGTTCCTTTCTATGCCTTTTCATGTTCTTCGACTTCAAACAGCCTTAATATGGGCTTAATATATTTTCAAAAATGGTTTTGTTTTGAATATAATTGTGTCACTTTATATCAAGTGAATTAAGGCTTCTGTATATTTCTGTTCCTTCAGCCTCCCCAAAACCACTTAACTCATACTAACCGAAGCCTTTTTCTTTTTTTTTTTTTTTTTTTGAGACGGAGTCTGCTCTGTCGCCCAGGCTGGAGTGTGGTGGCGCGATCTCAGCTCACTGCAAGCTCCCCTTCCCGGGTTCACGCCATTCTCCTGCCTCAGCCTCCCGAGTAGCTGGGACTACAGGCGCCCACCACCACGCCCAGCTAATTTTTTTGTATGTTTAGTAAGATGGGGTTTCACAGTGTTAGCCAGGATGGTCTCGATCTCCTGAACTTGTGATCCGCCCGCCTCGACCTCCCAAAGTGCTGGGATTACAGGCGTGAGCCACCGTGCCTGGCACTGAAGCCTTTTTCTATATGAATATGACCTCCTTCTGTGCCTGTCTGATCCTTAGGAGAAAGTTTTCTCATCCTAGATCTGACCAAACTGTATAGTACTAGTTTTGCCATTTTTGCAATAATTTGGGGAGAAAGAAGCCAACACACATATGCAAATGAAAGATACAAACTATTATTTTTATTTTTGGTAAAAATCACATAACATAAAATTTACTGCCTTGGCCGGGTGCAGTAGCTTATGCCTGTAATCCCAGCACTTTGGGAGGCCGAGGTGGATGGATCACCTGAGGTCAGGAGCTTGAGACCAGCCTGGCCAACATGGTGAAACCCCATCTCTACTAAAAATACAAAAAAAAAAAAATCAGCTGGACGTCGTGGTGTGCGCCTGTAATCCCAGCTACTCAGGAGTCTGAGGCAGGAGAATCACTTGAACCCAAGAGGTGGTGGCAGCAGTGAGCCAAGAACATGCCATTGAACTCCGGCCTGAGCAACAAGAGTGAAACTCTGTCTCAAAACAAACAAACAAACAAACAAAAAAAAACCACGTACTGCCTTAGTACTTCTAAAGTATTAAAGTTCAGATTACAACATTCTTATTGTAATAAGAATTATTACAACAGTCTTACAACATTCACATTGTTGTAAGACTGATTGCTAGAACTCTTTTCACCTTGTGAAACAGAAACTCCCCATTCCCTCCCCTCCCCTCAGCGCCTGGCAACCACCATTCTGCTTTCTTTAAGTAGAATGATACAGTATCTGTCCTTTAGTGACTGACTGGCTTATCTCACTTAGCATGTCCTCAAGGTTCATCCATGTTGTAGCATGTGTTAGAATTCCCTTCCTTCTTAAAGGCTGGATAATATTCCATTTTATGTATCTACTCCGTTTTATCCATTCATCTGTCAGTGGACACTTGGGCTGCTCCCACCTTATGGCTATTGTGCATCAGGCTTTTATGAACACAGGTAGACAAATATCTGAGACCCTTCTTTCACTTCTAGGTATATATCTAGAAGTGAGATTGCTAGATCATATGATAATTCTATTTTTAACTTTCTGAAGAATCACCATACTGTTTTCCATAGTGGCTTGCACCATTTTACCTTCCCACCAACAGTGCACAGGGATTCTAATTTCTTCACATCCTCACCAACACTTTTTTTTTTTTAGGTGTTTTGCATCGTGATTTTGTTTTGCATTCCCCTAATGATTAGTAATATTGAACATCTTTTTGTGTGCTTGTTAGCCATCTGTGTATCTTCCTTGAAGACTTGTCTGCAAAGTCCTTTGTTGATTTTTCAACTGAATTATTTTGTTGTTGTTGAATTGTAGCAGTTTTAAAAAAATATATTCTGGGTATTAACACCTTATCAGATATACTCTTTGTAAAGATTTTCTCCCAGCCAGGTGCAGCGGCTCACACCTGTAATCCAAGCACTTTGGGAGGCCAAGGCGGGCAGATCATCTGAGATCGGGAGTTCAAGACCAGTGTGACCAACATGGAGAAACCCCGTCTCTACTAAAAATACAAAATTAGCCTGGCATGGTGGTGCTTGCCTGTAATCCCAGCTACTCAGGAGGCTGAGGCAGGAGAATCACTTGAACCAGGGAGGTGGAGGTTGCCGTGAGCTGAGATCACACTGCTGCACTCCAGCCTGGGCAACAAGAGCGAAACTCCGTCTCAAAAAAAAAAAAAATTTCTCCCATTCCATGGATTGCCTTTTACTCTGTTATTTGATGAAGTCCAGTTTGTCTATTTTTTCTTAGCTTTTGTTTTTGATATCATATGTAAGAGATCACTGCCAAATTCAATGTCACAAGGCCTTCCCCTATGTTTTCTTCTCAATGATGTATAGTTCTAGCTTTTATGTCTAGGTCTTTGATCCATTTTGAGTTAATTTTTATGTAGGGTCTAAGGTAAGGATTCAACTTCATTCTTTTGCATGTGACTATGAGGTTTTCCCAGCACTTTTTTTTTTTTTTTTTAAGACAGGGTCTTGCTCTGTCACCCAGGCCAAAGTGTGCAGTGGTACGACCATAGCTCACTGTAGCCTCCAAGTTCTGAGCTCAAGCAATCCTCCCACCTCAGCCTCCTGAGTGGCTAGGACTATAGGCATATGCCACCATGCCTGGCTAATTTTTAATTTTTTTGTAGAGACACGGGTCTCACTATGTTGCTCAGGCTGCTCTCAAACCACTGGCCTCAAGTGATCCTCCCACCTCAGCCTCCCAAAAATGCTGAGATTACAGGTGTGAGACATGATTCCCGGCCCCCAACTGTGTTTGTTGGCAAGACCATCTTTTACCCACTGAATGGGTTTGGCTCCCTTGTAAAAAATCATTTGACCATGTATGAGAGGGTTTATTTCTGGGCTTTCTGTATGCCCAGATCAAAACTACCACACTGTTTTGATTACTATAGCTTTGTAGTAAGTTCTGAAATCAGGAAGTGTGAGATCTCTAACTTTGCCTTTGCCTCTCTTTCAAGATTGTTTTGGCTATTTGGGGTCCCTTGAGACACTGGATGAATTGCAGGATGGGTTTTTCTATTTCTGCAAAGTCTTTGGGATTTTTATAGGGACTGCATTAAGGCTGTGGATCACTTTGGGTAGCACTGACATCTAATATCAAGTCTTCTAATCCATAAACACAGGATGTCTTTCCATTTATTGGTGTCTTCCTTAATTTCCTTCAACAATGCTTTGTACTTTTCACTGTACAAGTCTTTTGCCTCCTTAGTTAAGCTGATTTCTAAGTCTTTAATTCTTTTTATGCTATTGTAAATGGAACTCTTAATTTCCTTTAGATTGTTCATGGTTGAGGTATAGAAATGCAACTGATTTTGGTGTTGATTTTGCATCTGCATCTTTGCTAGATTCACATATTCGTTCTAAAGGGGATTTTTGGTGGAATTTTGAGTTTTCTATGTATATGTTGCCTGGGAATGGAGGTAATTTTACTTACTATTTGGTTGCCTTTTATTTTTTTTCTTGATTACTTTGTCTGGCCGTGACTTCCAGTATTATGTTAAATAGAAATGGTAAAAGTGGCATCCTTGTCTTGTTCCTGATCTCAGTTTTGGAAAAGCTTTCAGTCTTTCACCATTGACTAGTGATGATGTTAGCTGTGGGCTTTTCATACATGGACCTTATTATGTTGAGAATGCAAACTATTACACACACGTTTTTGGAAGGTAGATTTTCTTAAATCCCAGTTTTACCCTAGATCTATTCACAGTGCTTTGGGTTCTTCCATAGAGTTAATAGCTTTTCTTTCATTTATCACCTACATTTTGTTTCATTTTAGGATGGCCCACTCATAAAATTTGGCTGATTTCTATCATCTCGATAATCGCTAACATTCACCGAGTACTTAGAGGGTGCTAGGCGCTATCCTGAGCATCATACAGCAACCCTATGAGATCACCGTTATTATTGCCTTCTTAGAGGTGGGGAAGCCAAGGCACAAGGGGTTTAATTTGTTCAGGGTCACATGGCTAGAAAGTGGTGGAATTAGGATTCAAAATCGGACAGTTTGGCTCCTGTCTATTCTCTTAATCTCTATACCATATTGCCTCTTGCAAAAGGCAGATCTAGGGAAAGGGGACCAGTTTCCAGAGTCTTCAGAGAAGATGCTGCTGTCATTTTCCTTGAAGTGTCTAAAGAAGGTGACATATCAATGGAATTGGCATACCCACTCACTGCAGCCCAGTTAACTCCCTAGTACAGGACATGTGAGTAGCTGCTTCCAAGTCTGAGAGAGCCTCTTGGCATGCTTCAAGGAAGTAAACAATAATAGCATTTCCTAGATGTGGATTCCTTTGTCCTATGAGGGAAACTGGATTCTTGCAATACTCTCCGAGTGTGGTTCATATCATTTGCATCCTCAAAGATATCTGGTTTCTAGCCCTTCACCATACCTAGTCAAATGCAGCCCTGGTAATGGACTCTAAGAATCTACATTTAAAACTGATTCCCCAGTAACTCTTATATACATTGGTTTGAGAGCCAATGCTCTGAACATTTGGTTGGCTCCCACCTGCATGGTTCTCATGTGAACAGGCATTCTGTGGAGAGAATATAGCTGCCTGTGGGGCTTCAGCCAAGCCAGAGTGAAGGATGTGTGGATATGTAGATGTGGTTATGTTGCCTTCCAGGTGCTGCCAGGTTCCTCATTAAGGAGCTATCATATCACAACCTAGAATTGGAGAGAAACCGCCTGGAGGAGCTAGGCATTAAACGCCAGTGTGTCTGGCCTTTCATCGTCATGATGGATGACTCATGTGTCCTATGGAACATTCACAGTGTTCAGGAGCCATCCAGGTAGACTTCCAAGCTGTTCTGGGGGGCATATGACACAATGCTGTAGACAGGATAATACATTTCTTGACCACAGTTACATATGGAAGTAAGTGAGAGACAGCTTTCTAGAGCAAAACAGCCGACCATGAGATCACCCTCACTAGAACATTTTGTGGTGACTTAGGACTTTATTTAGACATTCAGTAGCCCATTAAATTCCTGGATCATTCTAGGATCACAACATTGGTTAGCTATTAAAGTATACTGAGGCCAGGCACGGTGGCTCATGCCTGTAATCCCAGCATTTTGAGAGGCCAAGGCGGGCTGATCGTTTAAGGCCAGGAGTTCTAGACCAGCCTGGCCAACATGGCGAAACCCCGTCTCTACTAAAAACACAAAAATTAGCTGAGCGTGATGGTGCATGCCTTTAGTCCCAGCTACTCGGGAGGCTGAGGCATAAGAATCACTTGAACCCAAGAGGCAGAGGTTGCAGTGAGCTGAGATTGTGCCACTACACTCCAGCCTGGGTGACAGTGCAAGACTCTGTCTCAAAAAAACAAAAATAAAGTCTGTTGAGACACTAGGATTGATGTAGAAAGACTGCTGACATCTCAAATCAGAAGACCTAGTTTTTAGCCCCAACTCTGTTTTTTGTTTATAATTTTTTGTAGAGATGTTGCCCAGTCTGGTGTTGAACTCTTGGGCTCAAGCAATCCTCCCACCTCAGCCTCCCAAAATGTTGGGATTACGGGCGTAAGCCACCACACCCAGTCATGCTTCTTGACTGACTATGAAAAAGGAAAGCCATCTCACCTCTCCGTATCTCAAGTCCATCACCTGTAAAATTATGCCTGGGCCAAAATCAGTGGTTTTCTTCCTGGGGTAGTGCCCCCTCACATTGCTAGTGGGTGCCGGTCAGGGGCATCTGTGAGGACCAGAGGATGCCAAACATTTTGAAAAGTCCAACACAATAAACCCCCAAAATTCAACAGCACTCCCATTGCAACACTGTGCCAGGTGACCTTTAAGCCCCTCCCAGCTCAAACATTGTGATTTTGTGTCCTTGTTCCTATTTTGGATTTGAAGCCAGTGAAATTTTCAAATATTCCTTATTATACACAATTACCAGAACTGGGAAGGATACCTCTATGCTTCCAACCTCCAGCTACCTCTTCTTTGGCAACTCTTTATTCATTGTTCACTCTGACAAAGGGGCTGGATTTTTCTCTGCCCAAAAGTGATAAGCCCCACCCCAAAAGGCAGTTTCTTTAATAGTGACAGGTAGTGTGAAAACTGGGCTTGACATTCTTCTCCATTTGCTAATACAAAGTAAATCAGTTAATTTTATCCTTGAGAGTATTACTGGTGTATAATAGTGTATAGACAGTTCACAAATGATCCTGTCTTCCATAATATTTATCAACATCTTATATAAACTATATTTCACAGCCAGCCTGTGGAAGTAGCAGTTTCCAGTAAGAATGTTTCCTTGAAGACTGTCTTACAGCACATTGAAGCCACACCAAAAATTGTCCACTATGCAATCTTGGGCATACAGAAATGGAGCAGCAAGCTGACTTCTCAGAGCCTAAAGGCCCCATTCTCTAGGTGTCATGTGCATGATTTCATTCTCCTCAACATAGACTTGACTCAGAATGTGCAGTATGACTTCAACAGGTAAGTCAGGCCTTATGGATACAGGTAATCCTGGCATCTACTGATGGCTTCTGCCCAGCTCTAGCCTCTGTAATGCTTTTATTCCTATGTCTTCAGTTGAGAAGCTGACTCTTTATGTGGGCAAGGAGAAAGGGGGATCACAAGCCCCAAAGTGTGCCCCTTTAACACCAAACTGACCTAGATCTTAACAGGGGTTGCAACGTCAAATGCTTAAACACTTTAGCCGTCTCATTATTCAACAAGAACTCAGAAACTATTGGCTCAAGTCAGTGTGTGCACCCGCAAACATCTAAGACTAAGCCCTCCTTCACCCTCCAAACTCAGAAGGAAATCACTTTTCCTGAATGTTAGTAGGATTCAGGGAAATCCTACTGTAGGGAAAAGGCAGCAGATGGGGATGAGCAGGGTAGCCATGGCCTTGCCTCCCAAATAAATTATGTCCAGGTTCCTACAAAACCTGAGAGCCAAACAAGAAAGCAGGAACCATAAAGTCCTTCTTATGCCAACCTCACGGTTATAGAATAGCTGCTGCTTTCACTTCTGTTTTAAATTGGACAGAGGCTTCATCCTGTTTGTAGCCAGAAATTTAAAACTGGGAGCACCTCTGCATTCCTGTTCTGCCAGAGTGTATCAAATAGGAACACAGTCCTGTTTTTGCATAGGGATACCTAAAACCTGTGACATAGCTGGGACAAAGATCATCTCACTTTCCCCTTTTAAAGGCTGTAATGCCCAAATCAGAGTTTTTCCAGGTCAGTATTATGAGGGCCAGCTCCACAAAAGCACGGTTGATTATTTTAGGCTCCTAATATCTTGCCACATGTTTATTTCGCCGTTTATAGTTATCACGGTTGAGATATGCCAGCTGAAGAAAACTATTGTTGTGGTTACAATTTAGGTATTTCTGTGAAGATGTTGACTTTAATCTGAGAACTAACAGTAGTGGCCTGCTCATCTGCCGCTTTAATAACTTCAGTCTCATGAAGAAACATGTTCAGGTTGGAGGGCAAAGGGACTTTATCATTAAACCAAAGATCATGGTAAGTACTGCAAGCTTGATTCAAGTGCTGAAAATAAGCGCAATGATAATGACTATCTTTGTTATTAAATGTTGGCATTAAGCACTTTCCGTTTTATTGGAAAAGTGAAATAACACAAGGGAGTTTTTTTTGTTGTTGTTGTTGTTTTTTTTTTGGAGACAGTCTGTTCCCTAGGCTGGATGGAGAGCAGTGGCGTGATCTCGGCTCACTGCAACCTCTGCCTCCCGGGATCAAGCAATTCTCATACCGCAGCCTCCTGAGTAGCTGAGATTAGAGGTCTGTGATACCATGCCTGGCTAATTTTTGTATTTTTAGTAGAGACGGGGTTACACCATGTTGGCCAGGCTGGTCTCGAACTCCTGACGTCAAGTGATCTGCCCACCTTGGCCTCCCAAAGTGCTGGGATTACAGGCATGAGCCACCACATCCGGCCATTAGGGAGTTCTTAATGTCAAATTTTCAATCTCATTTCTGTTACTGGAGACTCATCTAGAGCCAAAACATTTGTTTTGACAATCCAACAAAATTACTTTAAATGTTGGCCTTAAATCTAAGTTTCTTTGGATTTAAGCCTTAACACATCCTTCAAAGCTTTAGTTTCAAGATGGCAAACTTAACATTTTTGCCTTTTTTTTTTTTTCCTGAGACAGAGTCTCACTCTGTCGCCCAGGCTGGACTGCACTGGCGTGATCCCAGCTTGCTGCAACCTCTGCCTCCCGGGTTCAAGCGATTCTCCTGCCTCAGCCACCACACCCCGCCACACTTTTACATTCTTTATGTAATACATGAGAGAAATATAAATCAAGATGCCAGTCTGGTCCTTTGCTAGAACTTTCTTAAAAGACAGTAATATAGATCAAAACTATACTCTTTTCTAAGAAATTTACTGATATCTAATAATTCATAGCATGGGGCTACCAGTGGAGCTTAGAAACCTCTTTGCCATTTTTTTGGTGGGGTTGTGGGGTGGAGTTAGGATGAGATAGGATTTAACCCATACACACCGAGCACCACTGTAAAAGGCTTCCGATTGATCTCACAATGTACCTGTTAAATGTGATAACTTTTAGAGAAGCCTGCTTTCTTCTGCCCTCGCTGTGTGTAACTTACATTAAATCCAAGGGAAAAAAATTCTCAGGACCCTTTACTGACATACATTTGAACCTAGCACCCCTCACTGTGCTACTGCTATTATTTGGGGACTGTTAGGATACAATTCAGTGTTTCCTCACCTGTTTAATCCAGTGACAGGCAAGTTTCCCATGATCATCTTGGCTCTGATTTCAGGTGTCAGAGAGCTTAGCACCCATCTTGCCCCTTCAATACATCTGCGCTCCCGACAGTGAACACACGCTACTGGCAGCCCCTGCACAGTTTCTCCTGGAGAAATTCCTTCAGCACGCCTCATATAAACTCTTCCCCAAAGCCATCCATAACTTCAGGAGTCCCGTGCTGGCCATTGACTGCTACCTTAACATTGGACCAGAGGTAAAAGGGGTGTGGGGGATACTGTACTTACCTACATCCATCCATTTCTTTCTCATTTTAGCTGTTTACAAAAAAGCCTGTGACATGAAATATAAATCAAGATGCCAGTCTGGTCCTTTGCCAGAACTTTTATTAAAATAAGATAGTAATACAGATCAAAACTTGTATTTCTACCCTTTTGCATACTCACTTATGCAAAGGCTCACACAACATGCAATGGCAGTTGGCCCTCCCCATGCCTATTTTATCTCCACAAATGAGCCAGAGAATATACAACTCAGCTGTCAGCTCCTCTGAGAAGCCTACCTTAGTGGCTTCGGGCAGCAGTTGCTTGCTCCCACTTCTGTTAACATTCATCAGATTATACTGTAATTATGTGGGTTTTTCTTCATAAAAGTGCGAGTTCTTCAAAGACACACAATGTCTTAGTCATTGTTTTAGACATATGTAAGAGGAGCTCAGTGATTACTGAACCAATAAATGTGTACCACCTGAAGCCTTTAGAGGTGGCATTTCTCCACTTCCCACGCCTTGGACTTCTAAAATTTTTCATGTTTTAGTTTTTTTTTTTTTCTTTTTAAACTGCCACTTGCACCACCAGGCTCCTGCTACTAAGCTGTCCCTTTAGAAATTATTACTGTACTACATCCTCCTTGTAAAAAATGTTTTAAAATAAGAAAGTAAAGTCACCTGCCAGAAGAACATTTTGGTGTACTACATTTCCTTCCAGGGCTTTTTCTTTGTACGTACTGAAAAAAACACACATGTCCATACACATACTCTTTTAACACTGAAGTCCAACTGTATTCAATTTTGGAAACTAATTTTTAAAATTTCACAGTGTAAACATTTTACATTCCCATTTTTATGTTTCAATAATCTACACTGTCGCTTGGGTAATGAATTATAGAATTTAGAAGCAGAAGGAACCTTAAAAACCATCAGATGTAAAGGCCAGGCATCGAAGCTCATGGCTATAACCCAGCACTTTGGGAGGCTGAGGCAGGAGGATCACTTAAGGCCAGGAGTTCGAGACCAGCCTAGACAACATGGTAACACCCTGTTGCTACAAAAAATAAAAATAATTAGCCAGGTGGTGATGGTGCATGCCTGTAGTCCCAGCTACTCAAAAGGCTGAGGTGGGAAGATCACTTGACCCCAGGAGTTCAAGGTTGCAGTGATCTGATTTGTGCCACTGCACTACAGCCTAAGTGACAGAGACCCCATCTCAAAAAAAAAAAACCCACACCCATGAGATCTAATAACATCTTTTACAGTATTTATGTAAGTTACATGTTTGATCCAGATATTCCAATTCCCCTATCCTAGAGTCCACAATCTCAATACTACTAACAGCAGCTAACATTTACTGAATACTAAGTTATTTAATTCAGAAAGCATCCTATGAAACAAGTACTACTGTTATCTCTACAGATGAGGAAACTGAGGTATAGTGAAATGAAGGAGACTGCTCATTGTTCCATGGCTACTAAATGGAGGAACCAGTATTTGAACCCAAGCACACTGGCTCATGCATTTAGCCACTCCACTGTTTTAACTCCCAACCATCTTACTTCCCTGTAATTTTTGCAGTTATCATCTGTTCACAGAAGCCAGATAGAACCAAAAATTTAAATTCATGTACTGTTTTTTTTGAGATGGAGTTTCACTCTTGTCACCCTGGCTGGAGTGCAATGGTGCAATCTCCGCTTACTGCAACCTCCACCTCCAGGGTTCAAGCGATTCTCCTGCCTCAGCCTCCGGAGTAGCTGGGATTACAGGTGCACACCACCACACCTGGCTAATTTTTTTTTGTATTTTTACTATAGACGGGATTTTGCCATGTTGGCAGGGCTGCTCTCCATCTCCTGGCTTCAGATGATCCATCCACCTTGGCCTCCCAAAGTGCTGGGATTACAGGCGTGAGCCACTGCACCCAGCCCATGCACTGTCTTAAGCTTCTATCCAATTGAAAATTTAAGTATATCTAAATGGAAAGCTGATCAAAAATATTTTTTATTCTCACCAATAAGGCAATCCAAACATTTAATCTTTCCCAAGTATGCTTTTTTGTGGAAAGTAGTTTTTTAAATTTTATAAAGACACTTAAATGGAAGGGCTTGTTTCTTACTACTAATTTGTCTCCTAATAGTCCTTTATTATGAGAAATAAGAGAAGCTTTAAACAGGTTAACACTTGGCATGCTACGTAAGAGGCTGCAAAGCTTAACTAACCAAGCCATTTAACACTGGAAAAAACTCATCTCCTTTACCTTATCCTGAAATAGATAAAAAGGAAGGTACTGACTCATTCTGCTGAACTGCAGATATTCTGCTTGCTCTTGAAATGCCCATGCTATTTCTGCTTGATGATTTCAGGTGGCCATATGCTATATCAGCTCCAGACCCCACTCCAGCAATGTCAACTGTGAAGGGGTGTTTTTCAGTGGACTCCTTTTGTACCTCTGTGACTCTTTCGTAGGTGCTGATCTTCTTAAGAAATTTAAATTTCTAAAAGGTAAGTCAAATTTAGTATCTTGCTTGTAATTGCTATTGGTTCCCACTGAGCAAAATACAGAGGATAAAGATATTTTTAAAAAGCACTTGAGGCCAGGTGCTGTGGCTCACACCTGTAATCCCAGCACTTTGGGAGGCTGAGGAAGGCGGATCATGAGGTCAGGAGATTGAGACCATCCTGGCTAACACGGTGAAACCCCATCTCTAATACAAAAATTACCCGGGCATGGTGGCAGGCGCCTGTAGTCCCAGCTACTCGGGAGGATGAGGCAGGAGAATGGCATGAACCCGGGAGGCGGAGCTTGCAGTGAGCCGAGATCATGCCACTGTACTTCAGCCTGGGCGACAGAGCCAGACTCCATCTCAAAAAACAAAACAAAAGAAATCAGGTTAATGAGTCTATATGTATGTATATAACTATACACATTCTACTGAATCGAACATATTGCCTGAGTCAGGAAGCAACTGCAATAATTTTGTATAATTGCATCCCTAGACATAAACCCTTAGTTGTGATTCTGATACAGAAACTATAGGCTGGGTGCAGTGGCTCACACCTGTAATCACAGCACTTTGGGAAGTCGAGGCAGGCGGATCATCTGAGCTCAAGCTCAGGAGTTCAGAAGCAGTCTGGGCAATCTGGAAAAACTCTGTCTCTGCAAAAGTTAGCCAGGCACAGTGGCACACGCCTGTAGTCCCAGCTACTCAAGAGGCTCAGGAGGGACGACCTTTGGCCCAGGAGGCAGAGGTTGCAGTGAGCCAAGATTGTGCCACTGTACTCCAGCCTGGGTGACATCCTGGCTCAAAAAAAAAAAAAAGAAAGAAACCATAGTTGTTTCAATAGGTATGCACCATATAAAGATACTGGCCTGCCCGGGTGCAGTGGCTTATGCCTATAATCCCAACACTTTGGGAGGCTGAGACGGGCGGATCACCTGAGGTCGGGAGTTTGAAACCAGCCTGACCAACATGGAGGAAACCCTGTCTCTATTAAAAATACAAAATCAGCCGGGCGTGGTGGCGCATGCCTGTAATGCCAGCTACTCGGGAGGCTGAGGCGGGAGAATCGCTTAAACCCAGAAGTCAGAGGTTGCAATGAGCCAAGATTGCACCATTGCACTCCAGCCTGGGCAACAACAGCGAAACTCCATCTGAAAAAAAAAAAACAAAACAAAACAATAGAGAGACTGGCCTAAGAACAAACTAAGATTAAACATCACAGATAATCCTGATAAAATGACATTTGAGATCAGCAAAGAAAGTGAGGTTCAGAACACTGTGCAGCATGAAAACAGGGAGCGGGGTTGTGGGGGGACTGTGCATTCATGCATTTATTTATTTAGAGACTTATTGGGGATGGGGGAGTGGTAGATTTTGCCTCCCAGGAGACAGAGACACTTCTGATTGTCACACTGGAGGCTGCTGCTTGCTGGCATATAGTGGGCAGAAGCCAAGACTGCTGATGTTTAGATTCTAAACATCCTACAAGACACAGAACAAGGCTAGGTGTGATGGCTCACGCCTATAATCCCAGCACTTTGGGAGGCCAAGGTGGGCAGATTGCCTGAGCTCAAGAGTTTGAGAACAGCCTGGGCAACACGGTGAAACTCCGTCTCTACTAAAATACAAAAAATTACCTGGGAGTGGCGGCATGCACCTTTAGTCCCAGCTACTCAGGAGACTTGAGACAGGAGAACTGCTTGAACCTGGGAGGCAGAGGCTGCAGTGAGCCGAGATCACACTACTGCACTCCAGCCTGGGCAACAGAGCAACTCTGTCTCAAAAAAAAAAAAAGAAGACACAGAACAGCCCCCACAACAAAGAATTATCCAAGTCCAATAGTGCTGAGGTTCGGAAACCCTAATCTAGGAGGAAAACGTGAGAAACACAGCATTAGTTATCACAGGGAAGAAGGAATGTGGTTGGAAGATTACTTACTTTATACTTTTTAAAAAATTACTGAATTTGGGCTGGGCGCAATGGCTCACACCTGTAATCCCAGCCCTTTGGAAGGCTGAGGCGGGCGGATCACGAGGTCAGAAGATCGAGACCATCCTGGCCAACCTGATGAAACCCTGTCTTTACTAAAATACAAACAAAAATTAGCTGGGCCTGGTGGCACACGCCTGTAGTCCCAGCTACTTGGGAGACTAAGGCAGGGGAATTGCTTGAACCCACGAGGCAGAGGTTGCAGCGAACCGAGATCGCGCCATTGCACTCTAGCCTGGTGACAGAGCAAGACTCGGTCTGACTCACACACATACACACACAAAAACTGAATTTGCAAAACTACTTAATAAAATTAAACAATTCTGATAGATTATGTACCCATCTGTTGGTTCTCAGATGTGTTAGCTTAGAAAATGTAATCAGAGATGGTAAAGTTCTTTACATACTCAATCCCTGAGCCTAGGACGTATTTCTGTCTTTTTTCCTGAAGGTGCTACCCTGTGTGTCATCTGCCAAGACAGAAGTTCCTTGCGCCAAACGATTGTCCGCTTAGAGCTAGAAGATGAGTGGCAGTTCCGCCTCCGGGACGAGTTTCAAACTGCTAACAGCAGTGAAGACAAGCCTCTCTACTTTCTTACTGGACGTCATGTATGAGCTTTTGAAGAGACCAAAAACAGCAAAAAGATGCCTAGGTGGGGTGGGACAGAAATAATTTGGGATTTTTTTTTTTCCTTTAAAGTACAATCACTGTGGAGCAAAGTGCAACATATTTGTCTAAATTCTCCAAAGAACTCCCCAAATCTGATCCAAGTCTTTGGGGACATCACTTTCCTTCACTTCCAATTACAGGACCCTGAAATTCAGGTAAACTCTACCCTAGGTAGTTATGCAATTACTTAAGATACGGTCTGCCCATGGGATCCTGAGGAGGATATACTTTGGAGAGTGAATATGGAGTTTGCATTATTTTTTTCTATTACACTATGTTGGGGGGAAACTGTCAGCATTAACTAGCCTGAATGTGTTACATGAGACTCATGCCATTGGTGTGGAATTAATTGAAGATTAACGTTTGAGGCCTGAACCCTCAGTTTCTCTTCAGATCTGTACTTTGGTACAGTATTACTCAGGGGTTTGAAATGATAGAATGTAGACGATATTTGTATTTAAAAAAAGAAGTAGCTTTGTCTTTCTCTGTGCAGTGTTAGTTTAAGATTTATAATCTTCTATGTATTGAAACTTTTGGCAAAATTTCCACAGGAGTTAAAAGTTTACTATTTAAACTGAACAAACAAATCAGTAAATGCAGAGCAGGCATTGTGTGCATTTATTCATCTTCTAGCCTAATTCCTTTGCTTTTTCCCATTCTTTAAATGTGTTTCCAGTCTTCAAGAATATCTTATCTATGAGACTGTGGAACAGCAATTAATCTTTTGCAAGAACTTGATTAAGTCCATTGAGTTAAGAAGCTTTCAGCAGGTAACCTGCACCCGCCGTTTGGTTGGAATTAAGCAGTTGGCACCAGCAAACCTAAATGTCAGGCTGAGGTTCTGTTGCAGAGTGAAACTAATTTGTTTCCTTTCAGGGACTCAAGCAAAGCTTCCTTTATTTAAAAGATGCACTGAATATTACCACCTTACACTGACAACGCCACAGAAATTGCTGAATTGGGAAATTGAGCCATAAAAAGAGAAGTGTTTTCTACTTCATCTTAGCAGTGACTCTTGTGAGGAGTAAGGAAGACTCCATTAAGAGTCTTTATGATTCATTAAAATCAGCAGGGGATGTTTGTCCAGTATCGGCAATGTGAGGCATATGTTTCTACAGATTTCTCAAATATTTTAATCAAAGACATTATTTTTAGAAAATGTTCCAGACAAACTAAGTCTTAGAAGTTTACTCTTAAATTACTCCAGTTCTCATCATTGAACAATGTCTCGAGTTTTCTCATTAGCCCATATTTACTACTTTATCCCCACTTAACATGGCCATTTTTACTTGAATCCATCTTGTTTGTGTCCTGAAACTACTGAGGGGCCTACTAAGCCTGCATTTACTTAGAACAAATAGTGTTAATTGACCAGCTTTATTATGACAAGTTTACAAAGCTAGTGAAAAAATGGAATGTATTAGACTAAAAATGGTTTGCAGATCTCTTGGTTTTAATATAGCTACTTATAATGCTTTAACTGTATTTTGAAGTGAACAATTCCTTTTAACCCCATTTTTAATTATCTTTCAAAGAGGACCTGCCTCATACATAATATAAAAAAAAAACTCCTTAATTTTAGTACAGCAGAATTTTTGGTAAAGAGGTATGTTTTGAAGCAGTTTGGTTTAAATATGAATGTATTTCACTTGTTCCTGTTTTGTTGAAAGGGCCTAATGCAAATAATATCAAGAAACCCACTGTCTGTGCAATATTCCAATGACATTTACATAGGGCAAATAAAATACTTGAAAGAATTATAAAACAATTGTACCTGGGGTGGATGGCCTCTCAGGGTTTCTTCTGGCTTTATGACTTCATAGCTTAAAGAAATTTTTTTTTAAGTAGTTACATCAGATGCAGGTACTCCATTAGTTAGGGCTGCACTCTGAAAATTCAAATTATTATTATGAGCTCTTAAATACTATTTAACTCTGTGGAAGAGATTTGCCAGAATAAAGCCAAAGACCATCACCCCTATAAAAGAGAAATTGACCTGCTTATTCTTTTCAAAGCCTATCTTACTAAGGTTTGGATCTTTTAAAAATCATCTTATCAGTATAATTCTTGAGTATGTCAGGTCCTTCTTTAAGGATAAAATTGCACAAGCACAGGACACCATGATTTGTATATATATATACTAGTGTGTTCGGCTTTAAGCTTTGCAATCCCTTAGGACACTGGTGTGGGATGAATGGATTCGCTAGGCCCACACAGTAACTCACCTGTAGACCTGCTGAACCTCAGCATGTATGACAGTTCACACAGGCTAATACTGAATGTAAACTGAAAACTAGAAGAGAATTGTTGTAGTCAATTGTTTTTGGCTGTAATTTATGCAATTGCTTTTTGTGATTTTTAGAAAGTGGGGCACCTGTGTTACTTTATTACTGTAAAATGTTCTTAACCAAAATTTGGTGAATTTCACTAGTCTACCTCACGTTTTGTTAATGATTCAAAATTGTCTTGTGTCTACTGTTATGTTTTTGTCCTTTAATTTGGTAAATGTATTAAAGTTATCTCCCACCCCCTCCAAAAAGTTATTTTTTCCTTATAACTTTCTGGCATGTTAAGAAAACAAGCTCCCTGTCTCTGGCAATGTCCTAAAAAGGCTGGAAGTCACATTATAGGTTGGACAACTAAGATTAAAGAGGTGTTGAAAATATACATAGTAGATCCCAATCTTTTATTTGAGAGATTGCAACTACACTCACTTTGATGTCCTTTTGGAAACAGAACTTTGGGTTGCTAGAACTAATACAAGGTGTTATTGTTAATCTCCAGTTAAAACTTCTCAAACTTTTTGAGAACTCTCAAAGTTGCTAGAACTATGTAGTTTAATGAAGATGGTGTTATTGTAGCATGAATTTTATCTTCTTAAAATCTCTACTAAATTTTGAGAAGAAATAACTTTGTTGTCCCAGAAAAATGGCTTTCAATCTATTAATAAAGTGTAGTAAATTAAAAGAATTTGACATAGAATCCATGAAAACAATCTAGGCCGGGCGCGGTGGCTCAAGCCTGTAATCCCAGCACTTTGGGAAGCCGAGACGGGCGGATCACGAGGTCAGAGATCGGACCATCCTGGCTAACACGGTGAAACCCCGTCTCTACTAAAAAACAAAAAAAAAACTAGCCGGGCGAGGTAGCGGGGCCGCCTGTAGTCCCAGCTACTCGGAAGGCTGAGGCAGGAGAATGGCGTGAACCCGGGAGGCGAAGCTTGCAGTGAGCTGAGATCCAGCCACTGCACTCCAGCCTGGGTGACAGAGCGAGACTCCGTCTCAAAAAAAAAAAAAAAGAAAAAAAAAGAAAACAATCCTTCTAGGCCAAAGGGCCCCTAGGAAGGGCAGTTAAATATTTGTAAGTGTAATGACAGACTTTCAGAGGAAAGTAAAGACTACTGGTGTTCCACTATACATTCCAAAGCTGCTGCAACATCACATTAAAATACTTAGGACTGAAACAACATCCAGAGAACGAACATTTCTCAAGCTTCTCTTTAGACACAGAAACTGGAAACTGGTCCTTAAAGCTTCCTCTGAGTCCAGGAGAATACTGCTCTAACACTGAAACCTTGGCTTCACTGAAAACTAAACAACAACAATAAAAACACTGCTAAAGATGACTTCAGGAATTGCCTCTAAGGCCAAAGAAAAAGTCATTCAATAAATTCACTGTGCTCTCAACTATCAAGTGTTGAGTTAAAGCATCTACTTCAGTGACTATGACAACAGATAGTATTACGTTAAAAAAAAAAAAAGGCAACACCAGTAAGCTGTTTTCCGACCACTTCATTCCAAATATTTTATTTTTACCAGTCCAGTGTATTTTATTTTTACCAGAAGGGTGGTGGGGGTAGGGGGTTGCTAAAAGACAGAACTCATCCCCTTTTCTGCCAAAAGGCTCAGGAGCCATGAGAAAGAAAATGTATGTCTAGAGTCACTACCCCAGAAATCAACTCAGCAATCTCAACCCTAGCTGCAATGTGGATGGGCAGGAATACAGCTGTGTTCCCATCCAGAAGGATAAGACTCTATAGCTGGGCAGCCATGCAAAGTAAACAGGAACAATTGAAATATCACTGCAGGTTTGCTGTACTCACTGACTGTCCTTACAACAGTCAGGCTTTCAGTAGATACACCAAGTTCACTCTTGCATATTATGAAGTAGTAAAATACTGCTTTTTATCTGTGTGTCCATGCAGATTAAGGCATCAACCCATAAAATCTTGTAGTTCCTGACTATATTTGTGGCTCTTACAATGTCTCTATGCTAGACACTTTTACAAACGACCAACAACGATATGAAGGCTGCTAACAAAAAATTTATAAGCACCTTATATAGTCAGCAATTATAGACTCACCCTCTTCTGCAGTCTGTGGCCATTAGTGTATACTCACTGTGTCCCTGCTGCCTCCACCACTCCACTGAGACTGCTCTTTTCCTAACATCACTTGGGCTCTCTTCAGTCTTCAATTGTGGTATGTCAGGGTTGACCATTCTTTCGATTCTTGAAATTTTCCCCTTGGTTTCTACCACTCTTCTGGCTCTCCTACCTTGCTGCTCATGCCTTCTTAGGCAGTCTTCGAGACTCTTAAATGATGGTGTACCTCACAACTCTCTTCTACCTTCTCATTTTACAGACCCCAGGGTGACCTTCTAAACCTTCAAATAAATAAGTAAACTCATAAATCTGTTTATCAGTTAGAACCTTTCTCAAACTCTAGATCCACATATCCAATTGTATACTAAACAGGTATCTCCACTTGGAGATTCTACAACCACCTTAAAATCCTGACCAAAACTGAGGGCATCCCCATTCAATCCTCCCAACCTAATTCCCCTGTATTCCCATCTGCCAATCTAAGTCAGTTACCCAAACCACAATTCCCACTTACCTTAACCTCTCTGCCATGATCTTTTTGTGGTTGTTTATAAATTCCTATCAATTCAACTGTGTCAGTTCTTCAATTTTATCTTCTCAATGTGTAACTGTCTCGTCTTCATCTCCACATCACAGCTTTAGTTCAGTGTTTCAACGCTTTTCACACAATCTGCTCTTAGTTATCTTCTAAGTTCCAGATTCCTCAATTATAAACCCTACACCTCATAGGATTGTCATAATGATTACATAAAATAATGCAGCACTAAACACACAGGGTCTGACACACAGCAAACACTCAAATGTTAGGTATTAACTAATAATACTATTCTTAGAGAAACACCTAAATTGTAAAATTTGGGAGGCTACATCTTCAGTATAAACATGAAAATAAACTGGTTTCTCAGTAATAGTAACATTTAAACCAACCACCCAATATACCCTCTTCCACCTCCAGGTTGTCTTGAAACCAAGTCAAAAGGAGTCAAAGTAGTATACTATTGTTTATGGAAACTGGACCTGTATTATGAGGTTAACAGTTACTAGACAGTCTACACTATATCCCAAAATTTCATTGTTTTTTAAAAAAAACATGGTACCTGTCAGGCAAACACTGAGACCAGGATTGACCAAAAGAGTCTCAGGCCCAAAGGGAAATGATAGCATCAAAAGCTAGGGCCAGGTGCAGTGGCTCACACCTATAAACTCAGCACTTTGAGAGGCCAAGGCAGGTAGATCACATGGGGTCAGGAGTTCGAGACCAGCCTCGCCAATGTGGTAAAACCCTGTTTCTACTACAAAATATAAAAACAAATAAGCTGGGCATGGTGGCAGGCGCCTGTAATCCCAGCTACTCTGGAGGCTGAGGCACGAGAATCACTTGAGCCCAGGAGGCGGTGGTTGCAGTGAGCCGAGGTCATGCCACTACACTCCAGCCTGGGTGGACAGAGTGAGTCTCTGTCTCAAAAAAAAAAAAAAGAAAAGAAAGAAAGAAAGAAACAAAAGAAGCTAGACCAGCATGATGAATCAGAGGGAGATGTTTACCCTGCCCTATCATTCTACCCATACAAAGAGTATAGAGTCTTCTACCACTCTAGAATTTTTTTTTTTTTTTTTTGAGGTGGAGTTTTTTGCTCTTTTTGCTCAGGCTGGAGTACAATGGCGTGATCTCGGCTGACTGCAATCTCCACGTCCCAGGTTCCAGCTATTCTCCTGCCTTAGCCTCCCAAGTAGCTGGGATTACAGGTGCACACCACCAAAACCAGCTAATTTTTGTATTTTTAGTAGAGACGGGGTTTCACCATGTTGGTCAGGCCGGTCTCGAACTCCTGACCTCGTGATCCGCCCGCCTCAGCCTCCCAAAGTGCTTTTAAAAGCACAAATTTATAGGGAAAATAAAATGTATACCTGTTAATTTAAGGCCCTAAATTTTAGCCAGTTTCCAACTGAGATATGATCATTTCAGCTCATAAAAATAACCTAAGTTGAACCATAGTGGTAATTCATTCTTGGGCTGTGGGCCCTTCATTTATGTGAAACATCATAAAAGTACCATGTTACTTATATAATCAGAAAGGACTTTGCCTTTGGAGATAAAGTTCAGCTGATTTGCTGCTGACATAATGATCCTTTGGCAAACTGGTGGAAACTACCTTTAGGAAGCCAATGTTTTAATCATATTTCAAGATATCAAACCAAAAAAACACCCTGAAAAAGCACAAATGACAACACACCATTATCTCAGTTAGTACATTGGTCACTTAGAAAAAGCTATCAAGTATTTTATTATTTTTATTCTACATTATATACAGGTCATAAAAGGCCACAGCAGTTTTTCAACATATAAACCCTTTAAAAGTAGAGGGCACTATGAAGGATAGACAAGTATCAAAATGAAGTCCAGTAATGAGGGCATATACTCAGTGCAGTATTTCTGAGGAATAACAAAGCAGATACCGAGTCATCCATACTTTGCTTCCAAGTATTCTATAGGTTTTTATAAACCTCTTTGAGATTTGTTAACAGCCTAGGGGTGCCAAGTTGCCATTTATTTTTAAAAGTGAAACCAGAATGAAAGAATAATGAATCTAGGAGGTTACCTTTCCTAATGCTTGTCATTTATACCTCTTCAAGAAGGAAAGCCTCAATTCTTTACCACTTTCTACTTCCTCCTTCCATCAAAGATAGGAAAGAAAAATCGGGGAAAAAAGCTCAATATTCTAATTCTTCCTGTTTAGCTGGAGCTTTCCTTTTCTATCGGGGTTTCTTCAAAGTATAGTTCAGGCCTTTTAAAAATTAGCTTCAAATTCCAAAACATTTAATATTGCACCCTCCTTGAACAATAAGTAAAAAAATGGGTTTCCACTCTGTGAAAATACAATCCTTAAACCTATCACTGGTATCAGCAGATCAATATAAAAAAATACAGTACCAAGCTACACTGGTATATTTCCATATTAAGAACTTCAAAATATACTTATCACTGAGACCATAGTCCTTGCATTAGTTTTCAGTCCACTATGAACAATTATCTGCTGCATGTAAACATGTCTAAATAACTATAGATAAAATACATCAATCATAAATTTCTGTAAAAGATAATAAAATATCTTCTTTAAAAAACAAAACAATAAGCTATTACTGCATTGTTTCCAATTTTATGAAAATGGAACAACCATATGGTTGTTGCCAGTCCTGAGTTCATCGTAATAAAAATGGCCCTAGTTCCTGGTTAAAGTCAGCAACCAATCCATTCTCTTCAATAGATGTCTTCTAGTGGTGTAGGCAAGAATTTGTTTTATGTGCTATTCTGTCCATTAATAAAATTATATACCAGAAACTGACCAGTGCCACAGTACTGTGTTGCAAACAGCTTTCCATCAGGAGTGGGATCTGAGAAAGCAATTTCTTCTTTGCTCAAGTATGAGCCATATATAAAGTTACTCCTATTAAAAAAAAAAGGGGGGGGAGGGGTTAAGTGCAAAATGTTAAAAAAAAAATTCTTTCTAATCATTAAAACTGGAATAACCTGTCAAATACAATTTGACTAAAAAAACTTTTTAGGTCCTGTTGTATGTGCTCAAAATTGTTGAAAATAATTATTCATTTATAATATTATCAATAACCTGAGGTTAAATTTTAATAAAAGCAACAATGTAAAAACATTTACCCAACATCTTTTCATGATAAAAATATTTAACTAAGAGTAGAAATAATTTCCTCAACCTGATCAAGGGCATCAAGGAATATCAGAGTTAATGGTGAATGACTGAAAACTGTTCCTCAAAGATCAGGAATAAAAGAAGACTGCTCTCACCTCTTCTATTCAATATTGTATTGGAGGTTCTAGTCATGAGGAAAAGAAATAAAAATCATCCAGATTGGAAAGAAAGAAATAAAACTATCTCTTTTGCAGATGAAAAGGCCTTGTTTATAGAAAATCCTAAAAAATTCACAAAAACAAACATAAAATCTAATAAACGAGTCTGGCAAGGCTGCATAGTCAAGATTGATATTCAAAAGTAAACTATTTCTATACACTTGTAATGAACAACCTAAAACTAAAATTTAGGGGGAAAAATTCAATTTATAGTAACATCAAAAAAAATTAAATACTTGCCAGGCACAGTGGCTCACACCTGTAATCCCAGCATTTTGGAAGGCCAAGGCGAGAGGATTGCTTAAGCCCAAGAGTTCAAGGCCAGCCCAGGCGACACAGCAAGACTCCGACTGCACCAAAACAAATGAAATTTTTGCCAGGCACATGGCTATGGTCTCAGCTACTCAGGAGACTGAGGCAGGAGGATTTCCTGAGCCCAGGACATTAAGGATGAAGTGAGCTGTGTTTGCACCACTGCACTCCAGCCTGGGTGACAAAGTGAGATGCCGTCTCCAAAAAAGAAGAAAAAAAAACCTTGGGAATAAATGTAACAAAAGCGTTAAGACTTGTGCACTGAAAACTATTAAACATTGCTGTAAGACCTAGGGCCAGACGCGATGGCTCACACCTATAATCCCAGCACTTTGGGAGGCCAGGGCAGGTGAATTGCTTGAGCCCAGGAGTTTGAGACCAGCCTGGGGAACATGGCAAAACCCCATCTCTGCAAAAATTAGAAAAATTGGCCGGGTGCAGTGGCTCACACCTGTAATCCCAGCACTTTGGGAGGCCGAGGTGGGTGGATCACTTGAGACCAGGAGTTCGAGAGGTAGTGGGCACCTGTAATCCCAACTACTTGGGAGGCTGAGGCAGGAGAATCACTTGAACCCGGGAGGCAGAGGTTGCAGTGAGTAGAGGTCATGCCACTGCACTCCAGCCTGAGACAACAGAATGAGACTCCATCTCAAAAAAAAAAAAAAACAAAAAAAACCCAACTAGCTGACCTAAAAACCTCTTTTGAATAATTAATTGTAACCTCCTTTATTAACCTTTATCAGAGGTACTTTATAGGACAAAAAACTAAACAATTTTTCTGAGTCTCCCTTTTATATCTTCAGTCAAGTGATAAAAGAAAAACTAGAGATTTCAATAGTTTACAAATATTCTTGAATTAAGATAAATTTCTCTAAAAGCTGAACTCCCAAGGAACTTTCCACATTTCTTTGGTTATATTTAAAATTCTTCAAAATGAAGCACAACTTGAAATAGGCAGGTTATTTTGGCCTAATATCATAGTTACAAATAAGTAAGACGAAACAGCTTAATAGTGTTTAGCCTACAGTGCTTTCTTCCTCCTGTTAAATTCACAAAAAAAGTACTTACAGATCCAATACACTGATAACCTCATGCAAAATTTATAATTAACACAAATAAAGGTTTTACACACATTAATTAAAGGCCAATCTTTATACTAAAGCTCTGGCTAAGTCCTAAACTACTAAAAATGACTTGAAGGATTACATTCAAGTTACCTTAGGCATTCAATCATGCGAGAAGCAATTTTCTTCCGACGCATCATGCTGAATACCCATATTCGACTGATCCCACAGATTGCAGGCTCTGGTAATGTTGAGCAGCACCAGGCTTTTTGCCTTTCAAATCTGACTTTTTCTTCTTCTGACCTGATAACTGGAAGTTTCTCTTCTATAACTCTGTAGCCCTACAAGTGTCAAAAATGGGGAAAATTTTTAAGTGAGACTATTAATTAGCAACTAATACTGATCTGGTTGAGGAGGTTATGACATTTGACTGGCTTAAAAAACTATGGGGTTACTTATGTTTTTACTCTCATTTTTAGGAAACAGACAACCTCGATCTGCATTCTGTTCCAGTTCACTTACTAGTTGTATGACCATGAAAGTAAGTTACAATTTCTCTAACCTTCGGGTTCCTCACTGGAGATATCCATCAACTCTCATTTTGAGAGATTAAACCCAAATACATACAAAGTCCTTTGCCATCATGAGGAGCCCCCCAATAGGAACTGAACATTAGTTCTCTCCACCTCTCACACTCCAAGAACCAGCAAAAGTACATGTTAAGAACACAGCAGTAATAACTGTTTCTGTGACTGCTGTCACAGTTCTAGATTTCACAGTTGTACAAGAACTGAGACTAGGGATAGCAGACAAATCAATAATTTAAAAAGCCATTTCATCACACTGCAATCTCTTTTTTCAAAAAAGTACCTTAAAGAGCATACGTCGCTTTTATGGTGGCTATCTTTATGGGAAAAGAAAAGAAAATTTAAAATATCTCTGCCAGTCTAGCTGCCAAAATATAACACAACTGTTTTTCTTTCTTTTTTTTTTTTTTTTCCTGAGACAGAGTTTCTTCTGTCACCCAGTACAGTGGTGCAATCTCAGCTCACTGCAACCTCTGCCTCCTGGGTTCAAGAGAGTCTCGTGCCTCAGCCTCCCGAGTAGCTGGGATTACAGGCATGCACCACCATGCCTGGCTAAGTTTTGTATTTTTAGTAGAGATGGGGTTTCACCATGTTGGCCAGGCTGCTCTTAAACTCCTGGATTACAGGTGTGAGCCACCGTGCCCAGCCATGACTGGCCTTCTGATGGCACAAGATATAAAACTTAAAAGCAAACAGACAACACAGTTAAGAGTCAGCAAAAACAACCCTAACAAACATTACATAGTTATCCTTCTAGTCTAAACACTGCTATAAGTCATTTATGGATCTAGGTGGAATAGAAACTTAAAAACACAATAGTCTGAACTATGTAAAATTAACTCAATTGCAGTATGGCAAACTTCTATGAGTTAGTCAATTTATATCAAATTAATTTCCACAAACTACCCTATCAGTTACTTACTTAATTTTGTTATTATAGCAAGGTTCATAAGCACTATACAATAATTTCAGGCTGAATATTTATTTACTCATTTATTATTTTTTCTAAAGAGACAGAGTCTGGCTATGTTGCCCATGCTGGAGTGCAGTGGCTATTCACAGACACAAACATAGCACCCTACAGCCTCAAACTCCTGGACTCAAGCAGTCCTCCTATCTAAGCCTCCCAAGTAACTGGGACTACAGGTGCCACTACACCCAGCTGAATTTTTAAAACATGTAGCTTAACATATATAAACTCCTGCAAACTTGCTTTTTCACTTTTTTAGAAAATTTTATGACCAAGCATACATCTGTGCAAGCAGCTATTAACCCACTTATGCTTAGTGTTCCAATAACGGAACACTAAGCATGTGGGAGTTATTTATATCCTACTGCTCAAGGTCATCGCCAAGGTCTTATTTTTCACCCATGCAAGAACTCAAAAAATTGTTGTAACCTTTGGCATAAACTAGTTAATATGCTAAAAGACACTATCTGAACAGTAGTCACACACAATGCACACTGAGTTCATGAGCAAGAACTTAGCAGGAAAAAGACAGAATTCAGGTCTGCCTCAAAGTGAGATTAGGGAGTCCAGAAGCTTCTGTTCGCTTAGGATGGTCTCAGCAGTTTCTACTAACACTCATAATATAAATATACATGATTCCACTGTTTGTTTTTTGTACAAATAGGCTACTAAACACAAGATAACTACTCATTTAGAGTTCAACAAAGGAAGTGGTGATCTGTTCCAGGCGTGGGCCTTTTTTGTTTGTTTGTTTGTTTTTTGAGATGGAGTATGGCTCTGTTGTCCAGGCTGGGTTCAGTGCACGAACTTCAGCTCACTGCAGCCTCTGCCTCCCAGGTTCAAGCAATTCTCCCGCCTCAGCCTCACGAGTAACTGGGATTACAGGCACACACCACCACATCTGGCTAATTTTTGTATTTTTAGTAGAGACAGGGTTTCACCATGTTGGCCAGGCTGGTCTCAAACTCCTGACCTTCTGATCTGCCCACCTCAGCCTCCCAAATTGCTGGGATTACAGGTGTGAGCCACCATGCCCGGCGGTGTGGGCCTTTTATAAAGGCACAGATAGTAAATATTTTAGGCACCGCAGCCCACCTGGTCTCTGCTGCAACTATTCAACTCTGCCTTTGTGGTACAAACGTAGCCATAAATATGTGAGCCAAATGGGTGTGGGTGGGCAACAATAAAATTTTATTTACAAAAACAAGTTGGACTTTGCCCACTCTAGTTTGCCTAGTCTTGACTTACTGCAGTGCTACAGGGACTAATTGAGAAAGACATTACATTGGTATCTAACATGGAAACTTCCAAAATAAACTTGGGTAGTATTCTGATTTTTTTTGGGGGGGGGGCGGGGGAGAGGGATGGAGTCTCACTCTGTCACCCAGGCTGGAGTGCAATGGTGAGACCTTGGCTCACTGCAACCTCCACCTCCCGGGTTCAAGCGATTCTCCTGCCTCAGCCTCCTGAGTAGCTGGGATTACAGGCGCACACGCCCGGCTATTTTTTTCTCTTTCTTTTTGAGACCAGGTCTCGATGTGTCACCCAGGCTGGAGTGCAGTGGCACAATCTTGGCTCACTGCAACCTCTGCCTCCTGGGTTCAAGCAATTCTCCTGCCTCAGCCTCCCCAGTAGCTGGGACTATAGGCACGTGCCACCATGCCCGGCTCATTTTTTGTATTTTTAGTAGAGATGGGGTTTCACCGTATTAGCCAGGATGATCTCAAACTCCTGAACTTGTGATCCTCCCACCCTGGCCTCCCAGAGTGCTGGGATTACAGGTGTGAGCCACCGCGCCCAGCTAATTTTTGTATTTTCGGTAGAGACCAGGTTTCATCATGTTGGCAAGGCTGGTCTCGAACTCCTGACCTCGTGATCCGCCCACCCTGGCCTCCATAATCTGGGATTACCGGCGTGAGCCACTGCGCCCGGTCTGATGGTATTCTCATTCTACAGAATTTTTACCTTACTGACTTGACAAATGAATTCCCATGTATAACCATTACTCCACTATGGTAAAGACTCACACATGGGAATTCTTGCATTAAAACTGTTCCTTACATAAAATGGAGACAAATTCATCAGGATTTATATTATTTGGGATTACGTCGTAAACTCATTAAACACCAAATTACTTAAGAATATTCTTTAAAAATCACTTACCCATTGGATATGTTCCGCAATTAGGCACCCAACTACTTTTTTGTCATTGGAAATGAAGAGAAGTGTTTTAGTTCTGGAATAGCACATTAGTGGAGCCTGTTGAAAACCTAAATCATTGTCAACCATCTCTCTAATCTCGTCAACCTGCCAAATAAAGAACAAGAATTATTTTTAAATGAAAACATTATATACATGTAAAAACACACTATTTCAGTTCAGTAGATAGACTTTATTCCAAGCAGGGCATCCTCTCAAGAGTTCTTTTGGATGGGCATGGTGGCTCACACCTGTAATCCTAACACTTTGGGAGGCCAAGGTGGATGGATTGCTTGAGCTCAGGAGTTCACCACCAGCCTGGGCAACATGGTGAAACCCCGTCTCTACTAAAATATAAAAAAATTAGCCAGGCGCAGCAGTGTGCGCCTGTTATCCCAGCTACTTCGGAGGCTGAGACAGGAGAAACCCTTGAACCTGGAAGGCGGAGGTTGCAGTGAGCTGAGATCACGCCATTGTACTCCAGCCTGGGTGACAGAGAGAAACTCCATCTCAAAAAAAATAATAAAAAAAAAAAAGAGTTCTTTTGAAGGACTGTACTGATCAATAACTGTTTTTTAACCCCAAGAAACACTTTGCAAAATGAAGGAAGAACTGGAGGGTGATGCCAAACCCAATAGTCTAGAGAACAAGAGGGATGGGGTGAGAGCTCCTACAATAGATTATTAGAAACATTAAGACTTCATATTAGAAGTATCTAATTTGTGAATGGAAGAGAACTTCACTGGAATCTTAGCCAGGCAAGCCACTTTTCTTCCCAACCCTTAATTAGTACTCTCATCAGTAAAACGAAAGTGAGTATAGAGAAAAGGAACTCATATTTACTTCCTATCAACCACTTATAGGCCAGGCATTATTCAAAGCACTTTACAAATATTTCACTTCAATCCCACATTTCTTGAAGGTTCCTTACTTTACACATGGAAGAAATAAAACTCAAAAGTTAAACCACTTTCCCATGTCAGATATTAGACATCTAGAAAATCAAGGAGCAGAGTCACATGTGAATCCAAAATGTTACTATGGCATCAAACCATGCTTCTTACAGTTTACCTCCTAAGTGACCAAAGTCAAACATGATAAGCTCAAACTGTTGGCAGGCAATCAAAAGTAAGACCTCTGTAGGTACTCAAACAGTTCCTTCCCCAGTTAAAAGATACTGCAAACAAAAGCCAGAGAACAGCGGCTGATGCCTACAATCCCAGCACTTTAAGAGGCTGAGGCTAGAGGAGTTCAAGGCCAGCATGGGCAACACAGCAAAACAGATCTTTACAAAATTGTTTTATTAGCCAGATGTGGTGGCACTTGCCAGTAGTCCCAGCTTCTCAGGAGGCTGGGGCAGGAGGGTCACTTTGGTCTCAGGAGTTTGAGGTTACAGTGAGCTATGATTGTACCACTGCACTTCGGCCTGGGTGACAAGAGTGGAATTCTCATAAAAAAATAATAATAAAATAATAGAGTCCAATAACACTCATTTATGTTATTAAGTTTAAAATGCAAATAATCCTTAAGAGGGTTAAACATTCATACCTCTGGCATGCAGAATACCATGCAGCAAATCCCTTACTCAGTGATGAAGACTCAAGTCCTCCTAATCCTGAGACAGCATCCTACAACTCCTAATTCCTAAAGACAAGTGATTCACAATTCCCTAGATTTTAATTTTTAACCTATTATAGGTTACTAAGATTTTGTTCAGATAAACTAAAATGAGGAAATTAGCATCTACTGAGGATTTCTTCTAAGAAAAGTCTGGTTGCCACATACGGTAGTGTAGCAAAAGTTCCCAGTGTGCATTTCCAAATGTGAACAGCTGGAATTCCAAAAATTCCTTAATTTAATTTTCATTTAAGTTGACACTTGAACAACAAAAGTTTGAACTGAGTGGGTCCACTTATATGTAGGGTTTTTTTCAATAAATATATTGGAAAATTTTTTGGAGAATTGCGACAATATGAAAAAACTAGCAGCCGGACGCGGTGGCTCACGCCTGTAATCCCAGCACTTCGGGAGGCCGAGGCGGGCGGATCATGAGGTCAGGAGATCGAGACCATCCTGGCCTTGAGTAGAGATGGTGAAACCCCGTCTCTATTAAATATACAAAAAAGTTAGCTGGGCATGGTGGCAGGTGCCTGTAGTCCCAGCTACTCGGGAGGCTGAGGCAGGAGAGTGGCGTGAACCCGGGAGGTGGAGCTTGCAGTGAGCCTAGATGGCGCCACTGCACTCCAGCCCGGGCGACAGAGCGAGACTCTGTCTCAAAAACAAAACAAAATAAAAACTAAAACGGAAAAC